CCTTGTGACCGAATAATGACGACGAATAATTGAATGTTCGCCCACAACCGAACACTTTGCATTCATAAATAAAAGGTTTGGGATGCGTTCTCCTGTGAGCTATGTATTCCTTTTGACTCCTCGTTTCCATTGTACACCCAATATAGGGGCACACGTAATTTTTCTTATCTGAAAAACTCGCGTATGACATTTGTTTTTGCAATTAAAGAATTAATTAATGCAATTTGAAAACTGATTATGAAATTAAATTTGCGAGCATATATTGAGAACTAAGTTTAATGTTACCTGTAATGGAAGGACTTTGTCGAATACATAACTCCGAGTTTTCCGCAATAATGGGATCAGTTTTGATAACGAATTCCTCAATGCTTGCATTTTCATTTTTAAAGAGCTGAGAGGACTCGTTAAAGGTATTAGTATTTAAACCAAGGACTGGCTCTAAATCTATTTCGTCAAGAATATTGAAGCTATCGGAGAAGTACAAGTTATTCGAGAGGATGCTTTTAGTGTCGACATCTGGTAGAAGGACAGTTCCATTCTCAGCCAAAACAATACAAAGCAGAAAGCTGAACCAAATAGTTTGTGTCATTCAATTAAGAGCAAAATGAAAAACTGAATTTTTACAATGACAGAAATATTCGATTGGAAGCTTTTATTTCACATTGATTGGAATTAAACGACCAAAGGTTCAAACAGTTTTTAATCTGTTCATTTGCTTTATTTTGCATACTTTTTCTCTTATACCCCAATTTTGCTATTTGTACAGTTAAATGAGTTTTTGATTCTCGATGAAAACTAAAAAACTATATGGGTAGTGTCACTAATCCAATTTCAATTATTAATTTGCAAATTTTTGAAATTTCAGCCTCAACAATTGTTGCAATTCCAATATGTATTCATTGCTATTTTTATCGTTTTGAGAAAGAATTTCAATTTGAGCTGAAACTCTGTTTGAAAGCAGTGACAAATAATCAAATATGTCACAAGCGTGCGACGAGGAAACGCATTTGTGAGGCTCCAATTCATCTTATTTTCCATTAATTTCATGAGAATTAATTAAAATCAAGAAGATAACCATTGAAACAGTCTCAGTATGAGCAATTATTATTAATTTTGTTTATGGTATTTTCTTATCACCATATATTCCAAATGAAAAAGAACTCTGAATTGCAATATTGTGCTTGAATATCGCAGTCATTTCGATTTGATGCTAATTTTGAAATTAAAGCTAAACAGTGGTAACATTTAGGATGGCAGAAATGAAGAAATATTAGCATAAATGATAGTTAGCATCAAATATCGGTGGTTGAATACATTTTTAATCTGTACTATCTGTGTTCTTTGATCCAATATTGTGCCAAATAATTTGCATATTGTTGTAAGAACTTCTAGTTTTTAGTCTTCATAGTTTGGTTAACAAGAATATTAGTTCATTTCTGATTAATTCAATTCATTCCGACTATATCTTTTTTTCAAATCAATGGTATTTCGCAGATGTGACTTATTTCCTACTAAACAATCCATATCAAATTAAAACATTTAATACTTGTATAGTGAAACAATTTATCAAATTGTATGAGCTTGAATTGCTGGAAATTAAATTTCCTAATTTGAATGACGTAATTTTCATTACAGCATTCAAAGGTGATCTTAAATACGTGAAAATTTTTTTGAAGAATTTAAACAAATTTGAATATTGCATTCGGAGTGAATGTTTGTTAAAAAACTAAAATTCTGATACATCAAAAACAGAATTAGAGGCAAATATGAAAACTCTGAAATGTTTATTCATTTTATTCGAAAAATTGGATGTAATGTTTAAATTTACTAATTATAATAATTTTTAAATATTTTTTATTATTACACTTCTTTCCTAACAAATTAGCCCTTAATGTTTTGAACAAATTTGTCTAAATGTTGAATTTTGCACTTTTGAATATCGCTTTTTATCAAGAACTTTTTGCTATTGCTGTGAAATATAAAATATTATGGAGAATAAAATAAAAAAGATCAAAAAAATTCGAAAGGAAAAAAAAAATGGGGATGAGATGACAAATTGACCGCTCAGCATAAAGCGCAGTTTATGATTCCTATGCATATTTTCGTATATTTTCTAAAGTATATCCGTAAATAATTCTTGATATTACCCTATTGCGCTAAAAACGAGTAAACAATTTGTCGTAGATCTCATTTTTGAAGTAAAAGATATATTTTTCTGCATTACAATATATACTATATCTCATGTTTTTTTCTGATCTTAAAATTTAATTTTATCAATTGATACTACGATTAACTAATTATCTACATAATATTACTAGCAGAAAAATCCAACGCAATTTTGCAGATGTGATAATAGTTCAACAGGAGATAGTAGCGTTAACTATTTTCTATTTTCTAGTGTTTTTATAATTGAAAATGGAATCAGATGAAATTATAATGAATTAATAATAAATGCAATAGCAACAATAATAATAGTGGTGATGACAATAATACTAATAAAAGTAAAAGTTCATATTGTCAAACATCCCATTACTTGTCTAGTTCTTTAGGGATTTCAATATACAGTCGTTGACAGCCACTAATATCGTTCATTATTACTGACAAGCTATGATAGTCATTATTTCAGCATTTTTTTAAATGGCTTAATTGATATTTTGTCTGCATTTTTGCTTCTAAATTTAGGATACAAATGTCTCTTGGTGAGATTTAAGTCCTTCAGAAGTGGAATAATAAACGAACGATTATAAAAGTTCTACTTTAGTTCCACAAATTTGGTAGAACTTTAAACATGTTTGACTACCTGCAAATGAAAATCTGCTGAGAAACATCCGTTGTATAGCAGTACAAAATTCAGTAAGTACTAGAACATTTATCCAACCTTAACAAAAAGATATACATCTTTCTGGTTTATCTTCAACATGAAAAGCGATAAACAGTACCTACTGTTTTAAGAATCTTATAAATTTAAAAATTATTTTCTCAAGAGGTTTTTTCGCTCTTACTTTTACATGAAATTATGGTATAGTAAAAGACGAGAACTGGATTTATTCTTATCATATCGAAAAACTTATAATTATGCTTCTTGTTTAAATGCATGAAAAAACAAGTAAAGAACTTTTACCTAAGTTGTTTGAAATATATTATCACAAACATTTTTTGGTGTCAGCTTTTCACATACATTTTTATGACCAGTTTTCAAACTACGTTAATTCACTACAAATTGATATAAGATAATTTTTCAGATGATGAAAAAGTGCCCTAGTGCTGGATGAACTATGTAAACAAAGAATTATAGCGAATAAAGAACGCACATGAAAAGGCATCGTAAACCCTTTGTTTATGAATGCAAAGTGTCCGGTTGTGGGTTAACATTCAGTCATCAGTCAACGCATTATTGGCATCAGAGAACACATCAGCTCTAAACCTCAATGTGAAATTGTGGCACTAAGATTTGAAATGTGCTAGGAAAACCCGCGTTTGTTTTATAGAAATAAAAATTCGATTGCCAATTCCTATTCAATTCTTTCAATTATCAATACTCATTATAATCGGAAAAATAAAAGAGTCAATTGCCAGATCTGATTTAACTGCCGTGCAACATGATGATCATTTTTAGAAATGTGTAATGACATCCTTATCGATAAGCTTTTCCACTCACTATATCAAATGTTTTAGCGAAGTTAACAAACAATAAACTTGTAAAATTTAGCATTCTTTTCAGATTTCAGATCGAATTCCATCGATCTGAAATGACCTTATCAAACTTCAATTGTTGTTCAGTGATTGTTGAGTGGTATACTGAATTACGGAGTTTTTAGCTGAACAGTAAGTAAGCACTGAAAGGCAATTGGAAATGTTTAGTTCAGAATATAGGATTAATCCATGAGAAAGAAGGGAATACTCACCTAATTTGCTATGAATCATATTCTGCTAGTCATTGGCATCTACGCATGATTAAATCTTCTGCACTAGACTAATCTAGTGTTCTTGACATTCCGAAATTTTTGTCAGTGTTTACTGCTAATGAAATGAGAAGGTGTTTTTCTGCAAGACCGGATGGATTGGCGAGGTGTGTTTGATGAACAATTCTTTTCCTGGATATCTGTGGATTGTTTTCATCGAACTAATCGCTGGGCTTTGATAAGAACCGTAGACATTCTGCGGAAGACTGCTGGATACTATTTTTGGTGAGCTGCCAGAGTGCTGCACGAAAATCTGCAAATTTGGAAGTTGTCCTGAAAATTGTCTCTTCCTTTTGCTCTGATAATTTTTTAAACTGTTGACTTTAAGTATTTTCATTGGAATGTCGCTACTTCTTTTTGGTTTAGCCTGGAAGTAGCGGTTTAGTTTGCATCGCAATGACGGTGATTTGTGCTCTGTTTGACATTCTGTACTGCGCATCATTTGGTGAATTTCTGACGAACATCGGGAATGCATCTTTGATGTCCAAGGTGTAGTCGATGAGGTGAGGTGCCAGTTTGGATCGAGGATACACCCAGTCATTTTTGGGCTGTCTTTCTGCTGAAAAGTCGTCTTTGTAATCGATGGATGTCTAGCAGGAGAGGTCATATGTGTTTAAAACTGTGTGCACATGGCTATTAAATAAGAATAAAGTAAAAATAAATTTTTTTATTGCAACACAAGAAAAAATAAAATTATTAGTGAATGAACAGCAAAGAATGAATTATTCGCTTATTATTCAGTGCAATGCATCAAAAAATCATTTTGTGATAATTTTATAATACATTTAAAAAGTTTATGAATCTTTATTTTTTCCAATGTTTTTCGTCTTTTTCGTTTTCTCAGCCATCCAATTTAAGTTCTGCTCGCATTAGGTTGGAAATATTGCTTGATAATTTTCTCTTCAGTTCAATTTGAAAAAAAAAAATTAATTTTGAAGACACTTGAATTAAAATGTTGAAATGTATCGCATAAATGCATTATTATTAATAGAAAAAACGAAATAAAAAAAAATTAAATGTTAAACAAAAACTAAAAAATCAATTTAAAATCGAATTTTGAGTATTGCCTTTGATAATAGTAATTAGACAATCACGACATGAACCATTGCATTCTTTATTAATGTCTTCAATCAATTTTTTCTTATAACTTTTCATGTATGCTTCAGAGATTGTCGCAAGATCAATCTCAGATCGTGAAATTATCAGACGAATCAAATCACCATCTCTTGTTTCGCTAGGATTCTGAAAAATGTTTAAATTATTTAAAAAAGTCACGCAAGAGCATATCTTAATAGTTCAATCTTGGTAATCGATATCATTATATCATATCAGTATTATTTACCAGTTATCATATCCACTATTTTTATCATTAAATTATATTAAATAAAAACAATAAAAGACATATTACGTGATTTATTTGATAAGACATCCTATAAAGTAGCTTTAAAATTAATCCTAAATATTTTGAAATGATTTGTTAATTATAAATCCATGACGTCATTGTGTAGAATGAAAGCTCGAAAATGCTACTGAAATATTACATTTGCCTTTTCACGATCACATGAACCTGTTTTACTTTATGTTTTTTATGCATTCGTTTATGAAATGATTGTTTACTTAATAATAATAATAAAATTAACAATATTAATAATACCTTTAGTGAGCTATTAAGCAAATCAGCAAAGTATGAATTGCTATTTCGAGCATACTGAATTAATGCAAGCAATGCCTTCTTTGCGGGACCATTAAAATATTTCTGCAGGAGGAATATTATTAAAATAAATTAATTGATGGATTGCTTATTCCTATCCTTCTAATTTACAAACGTGTTAGTAGTAGCAAAATTTTAAATATGCAAAATTGAATTGAAAAATTTTTCGAACTTATTTAATAAAATTATCTAATTACTGAATTAAGATACAAATAAATTGAAATTTTTTATTGGAAAATAAGTTATAAAAAGCATAATATTTACTTTTTTTATTTAGAAAATAAATTACTGTAAAAAAAATTTTTTTTAAAAAAAAATTGTTATTAAAAAATAAATTATATTTCTTAGAAAATAAATTACATTTTTTTTTTAAAAAATTTATAAAAAAAGCATAATAATTACTTTGGGGATTGAATAAATGAATATGATTATAATAATTGATCAGTCTACATATTCCAACTTTTTTAAAGTATTATTGATTTTATTAGTTAAAATTTTTAATTTTATGAATTAGAACGCATCTGTTATGCTATTTTTTAGCTATAATTTTTATTTTTTCTTTGATATAACTACACGTATTGCTATAGGCAAAATAAATATTGAATGAATAAATAGATATTTGATACCAAACTCTAAAGAATATAAATATTTATGCATATCAGAACATAATATTGCATCTATTATATCACAAATACTAATAAATTATTCATTTAAACGTTTTATTTAATATTTAATTGTAATGATTTAGTACTTAAATGGTTTTTGAATTGCTAAGGATTAATTCACTCACAAATATATACTTTCATTTAAGAACTTTATACGAAAATGTAATCTCGTAAGACTCAAACTTTTTTTTTTTTTTTTTTTAATTATTATTTATTTAAAAAGCAAAGTGTGAAAGCAAACTTCAATGTCTTGTTCAATTTGACGTCCAGCAATTGTTGCATATTCTACGGTTAAAGTATTCAACTGATAAGTTGGAAGTGATCCGACGATAATTTTCATAGCTGTTTTATCAATTTTTTTCTTCTCACCTAATATTTTTTTCACTTCCTGTAAATAAACATACTTTTTAATTATTGACCATAAAATTAACATATCATCCTATGATTCAACACTATGTTGAAGTACAATAAGATATCATTTATCAGTAATCTTATCACACACCAACTTACTTGCTTAATTTTCCCCATATCAGTGCTGCTGCTATTATCATTTGTTGCAATGATTGGCTTCTGTATGACAATCAACAAAATGTCTTTGAGGTCACCACTTACACGTGTAGCTATATCATCTTCCAGTTTATTACCTAGTATAATCTGATATTCATTTTTGATCGCAGATAATTCCATGCTAGTTCGCAAGCAAAGAATTTCGATTAGTACAGATTCATTGATACTTGTTTCCTAGAATCAGTAATGCTAATATAATATTTAGCATTGTTTATTTGTGTTTATGCATGAAAAATGAACTCATGGCAAAAATGGAAGAGATTCTTAACTGATACTATTAAACATATTGAGTTAATTAAATTGGAATAAGAAAAGATTGGAATGATGCAAATTTTCTGAAGTGAATAAAATTTAAAACAACTTGCAATCAATAAATAGAAATTTTGAAAATTAAGGAAGTTAAACTCAATTTTTTTTTTTTTATAAATTAAAAAATATATTACCAAAATTGTTAGTAGTAGTAATTACATGCATCTCAAAGTAATATATTAATTTCAGAACAGTTAAAATTTTTTTCTAAGCCCAACCAGTACTCATTGTATTAAAGTATCGCATTGAAATATTCCAAACTTAGAAAATGAAATTATTATTATATACTACATATTTATTTATGTGTAGAAAATATACATATGTATATAATTTAAATTTAATCATTTCACTTTTAATTTAACCATTTCATTTTTGATTTTTAGATTTAAGTTTAGATTGAATAAAATGTTTGCATTTCTCATCAATTATTATCTTCCCATATTTTTTTCTTCTGTAGCAGATATAATATGATTATGTGTGATAGTTTTGTATTAAATGAGACTAATTTAACGAAATTTTAATTTTGAATCTAACGAAAAATTCACATTAATTGCTTTAACAAGTTGTAAAGTATCATATTTGGTTGGCGTTTCCATAAGTGCCAAAATGATATCTCTATAATCATCAGATAATCCATTCATTAAATCTATCATCAAATCCTTCTTATATTTTATCTTATACGGTGTTTTAATCTGAAAAAGAACATTTATTAAATTATTCCCTTAAAATCCAATAATGAAAGAAAATTAAGAAAGGTGAAGGAAGGAGGAGAAATGAAAAAGAAGGGAAGAAATAAAATGAAAGAATAGAAATAAAAATTTAATTTTCTTTAAACCAGGTAAGTTAAGAGATAAATGTATCACTTATCTCTTATCCTTTATCCATCTTAATACAAATTATTGATTGTATCAAAATGATCAATAATTAATTTAATTTTGACTTCCTATGAATTTAAATTTTAATATATGAAATATTGCATGTCATTTTCACTATCTTAAAATATGAATAAAATTTACATTAGCTTTGAAATTATTAACCAAAAATATTACCATTTGCCGCTGTGTGTTGTTAATTTGTGTAAGTATATGAAATATTTGAGTTTTACTGGCATCCGTTTTTGATGTTAATAATTTTGCCAACAAATCTGCCGCTTCATCATCATAAAATGGAAATTTGGCGCTGATTGTTCCACGATGTGCGCTATTTGTTGCCAACATAATTCTTCGACAATTTTCAGTTGTTGATGAAGAAATTAACCTAGCAAAAAAATTAGCAAATTTTTTTAAAATTAAATTGCTGAGTGCTTTCAATGATATTTAAAGTGTTCTGAAATTCTTAAAATAATGCTTTTAAATATTAAATTACAGATTTGAGTGATAGAAGAAAACTATCAAAAAATTTTCCACTTTCTGAAAAGTATTAAAATTTTGAGAAATAGAACTGCTATTAGAGGTGATTTTTTTTTTAATTCATCAATTAAAATGAAAAAAGAAAAAGAAAGTTATTCTTCTATTTTTCTCACGTGAAATGAATTAACATTTGTAACCTCTAAAAAAAGAGAAAAAAATGTGTACGATGTGAGAATTTTTAGAAAATTTATATCAAAGGTCATTTATAAAAGCAAAGAAATGAATATGAATGAAGTAAAAAGCATAAGAATATAAAAAAAAATGCGATTGGTAGGAAATATCAACAGAAAATGTGAAATGAAGGCGAATCACATTAAATAACTTTTGATTAAACTTTGCTGATAAAAGCAATGCTAAGATTATTATTTTGATTAGCAGTAAACAACAAATATAATTATAGAAACGGATGAAATCATTGGTTCAATCAGTCATTTGATAATAACTTCATATTATCAATTTATTTGTTCGGGGATTTTTTTTTCCAGTTCATTTTCTAAATTTCAATTCAAAATTTTTCGTAAAGGATGAAAATTTATTCCATTTCCTTTATTTCATCGTTTAATGCTTAATATAACTACTGTTTTTCCAATAATTAATAGTATGAGTGTAAATTTAGTTTCAAATTAAGTTATCTTTTAAACTACCATTGTCAAATTATCATTTTACACATTATATTTATTCTTGTATTATTCATTTGGAAGCAAAAGTTCGATGTTTTCATATTTGTTAAGTATAATTGAATTCTCTATCTTATATTAACGGAATTTGGGTCGATAATAAAGGTAGATAATAAAAAGTGTCTAGAAGAAATAACAAAAAAATTTCTCTTTTTTTTTGGTCTATAAAAAAATGAAAGTATTAGTATGATTTTAGGTATTTTATATCCATTTTTATTAAATTGTCATAAACAATTTTGTTCGTTTTGATTATTAAATGTTTACGAAATTCCTTCTTATCTATCACATTATTCAATATCTCAAATTTTATTCAATTTTTTAAACTGTAATAAGGTATTTTATTGCTTTTTTTTTTTTTGAAATAATGCACATTTTTTGCTGTTACTGATATCTGTCTTTTATTTATTTGTCAGCAATAATTGCAAATTTTCAATAAACCAAAATATTGTTGTCACAATAAAATCAATTTCCGATTATTATTTATGTACTCTTAAATTGCAGTGCGTCAACGATAATTTATGAACATTTAGGAGCATTATTCAAAGGAAATTTATTTCACTTCGTTTTTATTGTTTTGCGAATTTAAGAAAAAATGAAAAGGCGAAAATCATTTTTTACTTATTGCTATTATTATTTATATAATTAAACGATTTATTTAAGCTTTCTTTCATTTAATGTTATTATTACTATTATTATTGCTAATATTATAAGTACTATTGTTCTAGCATTACTATTGTTATTATCACTAATAGTGTTATTATCACTATTATTATTAGTATTATTACCATTGTTATAATTATTATTGTCATTACTACTATTGTCATTAATTATTGTAGGAAAAAAATGATAGAAACCGATGTATAAATGAATGATATTATGAAGTTTTATTAATTGTGTGAGAAGTCATCTAAACTTAAAGAAGGAGAAACAGTATAATAAAATGTAATAAATAATAAATATTTTGGAATATTTTTCAAATTATATGCCTTTCTCCTTCCCTGTTAAAACCTTAATTCTTATTAAAACATTTTTTACTTTAATACCAAAATTGTTGCTATTATTGCTAATTACTGTTATTATTACTATTACTAATTACTATATTATATTATTGTTAATATTATTATTGTTGTTGTTATTGTTATTAGCATTATTTCTATTATTACTGATTATTATATTAGTGATTTTTGAAGAGAAAAACAATCATTGATTCACTATTTATAGCTTTACTTGATTTTTTTTTTTTAAAAAAAAAAACCTTTTTTCATTGAATGATCTTACTTTAATGGTGGTGGAAAACTTATTATTACTAATTATTCATCGAAATGAATTAAGAATGCTAAAATACAAAATATTTTTAAATTTCTGTATTCAGATGAAAGATTATTACAATAATACCATAATGAATTAAAGCAATTAAGAAATGGGTAGATTTTTTATGAATTTCTTTTTACTAATTAAACAAAGATTGAATCAGTATGAATGCACGCAATCTTCTTCGCAATGATAAATTAATCAAATCTAAATTTCTCTCTGTCAACTAATTTTTTCATCAAAAAGTTAAGAAATTCCTTTAAATTAATGATAGTAGCAAAATTAAAATATATTAAAAGCATTCATTCCAGCAGTAATCTTTCATTGCTAACTAACATTTAATAAAAAATGATACGATATGATATATTATTTGTATTGTTTATTGCATCAATGAGCAATAAACAGAGTTAAAACTTTAAGACTAACTTTTTTTCTTTTTATTTTGCTATTTTTTATTAATGAATGTAGTTTTTTATGGAGTAATTTTTGTAATTTTCGTTATTTCATTATAATTTTTATTCATGCGTTTATAAAAACAAAAATTTTTTTGTAACTGCAATTATTCTTTTATTTTTAATCTTTTTGCTTATTCTTGAATTTGCTTTAAATCTATTTTGAATTTTTGTTTTCTTTTTTTTGAAATGATTCTAGTCACAATTTAATAAATAATCATTAACAAATAATTAGCAAGCAAAGCAAATACTATCACTGGAAAAAATCGCTGGATGTAAATAATGGAATAATAGAATGATATAAGGAAGTGAGAAAAAAGGATTAACCAATTTGAATATCGGAAGAAATGATCGATCAACTGATACAATCATTCTTTAAAAAAAAAAAGATATTATCGGAAATAAATATTTAGCGATTGAATTAGATTCATATAAAAATGCAGTAGGAAAGATGGATTCATACAAGAGAAGATGAATTTTTATAAGATTTGACAAAATGAGAGAAAAACAATGAAATTTAAAAGATGACAAAGTGGGATAAGGAATTCCTTCAAAGCTAAACTATCCATATTTACTCGAGAGCAAGGGAAAAATGCAAAATGTTAATTTGTATGCTAATTTTCACAGATAAATTAGGTATGCAAAGAGATATTATTCATTGTATAGCATATCCTATTTTTTTAGTCTGGAACTCGATAATTAAAAGAAATAGTATTTTAATTATTTTTGGAAAATACAATATTCCATTTACATAGAAATAAAACGATATTTGATAAATTTATTTTGCAATTAAAATCAAAATTTAAACCAAAGTCATTGTTATTATTCATAAAATGAAACAAAAACTTTTAGGCTATTCTTGAAATGTTATAAACAGCTGCAATAGCAATAGTATCATTAAATTAATTGTTGATTATCAGGTGTAATTATGGTATTAAATTCATTAGTTCAATTAATAAAGTAATTAAAAAATTTAGTGATGTTTTCATATTGAACAATATGAAACATTTTTTGAATAATTGTTAATTAAAGCAAAATGATAGGATTGATGATAAAAATAATAAAATTTGTTAACATTAAAAACAGACATATAATATATGCATGTATGTAATATATATAACTGTGATAATAATGATGATATGATGATAATAACGATGATAACGATTGTATACAACATATCATATATAACTGTAATTATATATTATTCCCATTCATTTATTCTATTCGCTTACATAGCAATGTTAAATTTGAATTGATTACTGATAATAACAATAAAATTACTGATAACAATACCGACAGTAACAAAAAACAATAATTATCTATCTTTTCGACAAAAATTTGCTTTATTTAATGCTATTTGATGATAAGTAATATTATAATTTCCTATGATTCACAATGTTTCATACTGATTTTGATAAATTATTAAAGCAATAATACTTAGGTAATAATGTATATTTCTTATGTTTTTTAAATTAGACAATAAGAATTAATGCTATTTCTTATGACAGAATAGAAGGCTTCAAATTATCGCTTATGAAATAACCATATTAAATATTTATTAAATTAAGTAGCAAGTTCTAACCTTTCAAAATAAAGTCTTTTGGAAAGGTTAATATTTATAAGTTTGACAAGATACAAAATCGTTCTAATTAAAATTTAGCTAATAAACTAAAGATTACACCAGGAAAAAAAAAAGACGAAAACATGATTTTGTTTGTTTGTTTTTTCTTTCTTTTTAATAAAAATAATGAAAAGTTAGTTAGAAAATAAATTAGTTCAAAAACAAAATAAATTTTTCCAACCTTTTTTTCTTATTATCTTTTTTGTTTAATTTTAATTTTAATAGGAATTAAAAAAAAAATAAAATGAATAAAAGTAATGGAAAGTGGATGAAATGAAAATAGAAAAAATAATTTTTAGTGGAATGAAAATGTAAAAATGATTGCTATCGATAATGTTTTAGTAACAAAATCTCCTTTCTCTCTTTTTTTTTATCCTTTTTTTCTTCACTTTCCCATAATCGTTTTTTTTCTCAAATTTTTTCGGACTTTTTTTTTTGTTCTTTTTTTCTTTTGCTATTTTATTGATGTGCAAATGTATTGAAGATTGAATACAATTCAAGATGACAAGTGCAGCGTTATCGAAAAGATTTTTATTTGAATAAAATAAATGAATGTTCAATTGTTAATGCCATCTGGCGATTCCTTTTTCTTTTTGGTAATGAAATCTTGCAAAATGTTAAAAGAGACAGGAAGGAATAGAGCAATAATTAATTATTTAGCTAATGCTTATATATTTTAATTGACTTTTTTTCTTTTTTAGATATAATTATTGGAAAAGAAAAGAAATTAGAAGAATTTAGATGAAATTAGATATTGAAACTTTGACATTGTCTAATTTTTTTTTTCCACTGGAAAGCATCAAAGTAAAATAGAAGAAAAATTAACAGTTTAATACAAATTTGTAGATGAAAAGATTTGAAAATAATTTTAATTACATAGCACTAATACATTTAGTAATGTTTGTTTTTTTTCCTTTGAAAAAGAAAATATTGGTTATATAATTTTGTAAACACTTTCTAAAATTTTTCACATTTTGCACCAAATTTTTTCCAAACTTTGATATTTAAAAAAAATTTTCTTTCAAAAATTTGAAAAGATTTGAAGAGGCGAATTTTTTCTAGCTATTTTCATTCACTTTTTTATTTTATTCATTATTTTGATTTAGTATTTTTAAAAATTCTATCTAATTTTCTTCTTCACCAAATTAGCTAAGAATAATGATACTATGTAATCAATTATCAATTTCAAATTATAATCAGATTTCAATGTTTACTTTTTTATAACCAAATGTATGATTGTACATTTAATCCATTAAAACATATATTTTATTACATTCAATAAAATATGTTAATTATTATAGAATAAAAAAAAATTGAATATGAGATTTTAAATCGAAAATAAATCGGGAATGGAAGTATTGAGAAAAAATATTTGAAGATGTGATTGTGTATTCATATTTATGTATTTATTACATAAAATTACTTACCACTGAAAGAATTTTGGTAAATTATTTTTATCAGATTTATCAGAATCATTGCTAATAGTTGCACTGTTATATCTGAACATTTGGTGTAAGTATAATGTTTAATATACCAATTAAATTAAATAAATAAGTTAGTTATATTTGCTAATTTCATCCAATTTAGTGAAATTCAATTTAAATCTAATTCAATTCTAATCTATTTTCTGATGCAGTTACAATTATAATGATACAAATTAATTGAGTACAAATTTAAATTATTGGTTTTTTCTTTTCAAATTATAAATTCAGTTTGATTGATCAGTGATATATTTGATATAATTATTATCATAAATTATCAAAGAATTTGAATTTTCTTTTTACCTTGCTGCATTTGCTTACTAATTTATAGAAATTTTCAAAGATAAATTAATTATTTCATCAGCAGTTAATTAGTTTAATTATTAATTAACGACTAATTAGTTGAATTATTAATTAACATAAAGCAAGTTTGTTTTTTTTATTCTTTTATTATTTAAAAGTAAAATATTTAAATCAGTTTAAATTTTAGGTTGATTTTATTGCAATTTTCTATATAAAAAGAAAAAGAAAAGATTCGAATAATTTGAACATTTCAATAAATTGTAGCACTTGTAAGGAAAAAAAATTATTATATGTTATCTTTAATTGAGGAAAAGTCATAATGATGATTACCATAAATTATAATTCAATTAACATAAATGTATTTACTTATATTTCTTTTGAAAATTATACTTACACCTATCAGTGATACGATGATTAGTTAATCAGATGATTTAAGACTACCATTATTATTATACGCTTACTATTTCTACAAAAATCATTAAAATGGAAAAATCTCATTTTTTTTCACACCAATCTTGAATTGTACTAAAATTCAGACTGCAAAAGTAATTGCACCAAAATTTAAATAATAATAAAATGAAAAGATCACTGATCCAAAAATTTCGGCACTTTAAATTGGATTGCAATTTAAAGAATTGCAGGAAGTTTATGAAGGACTGCAACCATTCTACCTTATTTAATTCTGTTACTTTTAATTTCAACTTAAATTAAATTGGGACAATTTTCAGTAAGTATAAATCACAAGCAAATGATGTGAACAGATTTTAACCTTTCTTTTTCTTTTATTTAAAAGGAAATAAAAGCGAAGTACTGTAAAAAAGAAATATAAAATTTAAATGACGAAAGATATGCAAATTAGCATCTTCGTTAAATAAGTGTTAATGATAGTGGTAATAATAGCAATATAAATAATTATTGTCATAGGGGTAAAAATGTTCGTAAATTTGGTGACATCATGAAATTTTATTATTGAACAAAAAAAAAGGAAATAAAACGAATGTGAAAAAAAATGACAAAATTTGATTTCATTAATCCATGGAATGATTAAAAGCTATCGAGTTGGATAATTGACATTGTTTTAACGTATCATATACAATAGATAATTGCTTGTGATTATCACGATTTGTCAAATCATTTATTATTATTATTATTACTATTATTATTAATATTATTATTATTATTATTATTATTATTATTATTATTATTATTATTATTATTATTATTATTATTATTATTATTATTATTATTATTATTATTATTATTATTAAGTACTGTAAAAAAGAAATGTAAGGTTTAAATGACGAAATTAGTATATGTAAATTGTTATTGTTATCATTATTATTATTACTATTGCTATTATTATTATTGTCGATTTTCAGGAAGCTACCAGATCAAAACAATTTTCTGAATTACTTATCCAACAATACTATAGAAATTATTGAAATTATTATGAAATTAATGGAGAAATTAAACTGAAAAACTGAGATTCAGAATTTTAATTTTATTTTAAACTTTACTATATACAAGGCAGAAAATTTGCAACTTATTATATGAATTATGTTCTTTTCATCTTCGAATTTAAAACAGCTAAAAAAAAATTGAATTTAGATAAAGCCAACAAATATCGTATCAGTAACCAAATGTAATCGATACCAGCAGTTATAGTTATTTCAACAATACGTAGTGCAGTTGTTCTTTACAATATTTTGCTTTTAATTTTAAGCAGACTAATTCGTATAGCATACAGTTTTTTTGCAACACTTACGTGTAATTGCGTATCTGACGTAAAACAACAATACTAATAGACATCGCCGAATGATACGATCGGAATTCTATTAATTCGTTTAAGTAATCAAACATGTCAAAACATTTCTTAACCAGAAAAGAAGTTCCTTAATTCCTGATGAGATTTTATCATTGTTGTTTTTTTCTCCTTTAACATAATTTGCATTCTTTAATCTTATGAAAATACAAATAGATATTAGGTGCAAAGTGTTAAATAGATTTTTTGAAGGAAAATTTGTTTTTGCTTTTCTTTACTTAAAACAAAGCAAATAAAAGATGCAAGAAAAAAATGTTATTATTAGAAAGAAAGAAGCAACAAAAATATTTTAAGAAATTATGATAAAATGTTGAAAAATTATAGTAAATTAATGAAATATTGCAATGAATTACGATAAAATATTGACAGATTATAATGAATTACGATGATAAATATGATTGTACTGCAATAAAGCGATTAGTAAAAAGAAAAAATTTAAAAAATACATTTGAAGCACTAATTAAAATACTGCAGAAATTATTTTAAATGTAATAATTATTAAAGTTCTAAATTCATTCATAAATTTAGCAGTAATTTCAGTTTCAAAACAATAATTTCATTTTTAAACTATAATAAGGCTTCAAATAAACAAAGTTTAGAATGAAAGATATGATGAATCATTTCCATAATTAAAGTATTAATCATATTTATTTATTTTTTGTTCCCTTATTGTTTGTTGCTATCATTAATGAATAATTAAGAAAAAAAATCATTCAATTTCCTTTGATAATAACAATTAATGCATCACGGTACGGTCCAGAACATTCCGATTTAATCCAATCAACTAATGGCTTTTTGTACATTCTTTCAAATTCTTCTCGGATTAATGCCAAATCAATTTCGGATCGTGAAACCACTATCCGTATCAAATGATGATCAGCTGTACCAAGACCCTAAATTGATAATAGATAATTTAAATTTTTTAAAAAAATTTACTATCAAATTTAAAATGATAATTTTTATGTGATTTTTCCATTAACATATTGATTTATTGATTTTAATGTAAACTGTATGGTAGATTTAGTTTAATGTAATTATAAATTTTAGGAAACAAATATTTTTTATTAAGCAAAAAAGGAGAAATATTTTTTCTATATAAAGAAAAATGAATGCAATAAAAAGAATAATAAATTTCTTTATGATTCATTCATAGTTCCATTAATACTAACATAAATATATAAATCATCTAAATTGATAAGTCGACATGACATATTATCATCTCAATATTGAAATAATAATCATATAGCTTAGAGGGATTTATTAAAGTAAAAATAAAAAAAATCTAATTAAAAAATTTGGATACATAATTAAAAAAAATCACTTCTCGATAATAATAAAACTTTTTTTTTCTGAAAACAAGTAATTATGCCATCAAAATAAAATATGTGAATATTTCATAAGTTTCACAAAGTATTAGAAATTTTGAATCATTTATTACTTTTTAAGATTTTCACATTTTTTATATAAGTTTATCAGTTTATTATCAGTAAAGATAAGATTAAATAATAAATGATGTAATGAAAATTTTCTTTTTTTGATTCTTAAAAATACTAACTTACCTTCATAGCATCATACAATTGCTTAGCAAAGAAACGTGGCTTATTTTGAATACTATCAATTAAAGCTAAGTAAGCAATTTTTGCATCACCACTAAATACTCTCTGCAAATATAAGTGTAATTATACCTTTTCTTCTAGCTGCATAATTATTAATTAATAGAAATAAAGTAGATACTAATGATTTATATAAATCTAATACCTGAAATAACTTTTCACTAATAATGTTTTTTACAGTTGCAAAAACATTTAAAACAAAAAATTTGCTTGTGTCATATCAATTTACTTTATCTCACTTCAAAAATTTTCTATTTTCCATTTCTTTTTCTTTTTTTCTTTGATATAGACCTTCATCCATTGATACTATATAATGTTACTTCAAAATTGACCTTTATGCTTAAACTAAAGTAAAATGTTGATTTTTTTTCAGATCAAAATGTTAACATAATATTATCTATATAAATCATTGTAATAAACCAAGAATTGATTAATGTTACTTTTAATTGCTAAAAAAATTCAAATGAACCTCAACAGCTGCCGTTAAAGGTTCACCGGTCATACTCTGATATTCACTGAATAGTTTTTGGATTTGCCGAAAATTATCCTGACTTAAGACCGTTTTGAAAGTTTCCTTATCCGGTTTCTCTTTTTTTTCCTTATTGCCAAACATTCGTTTTGCCGCCTTAAAACATCAAAAAAAGTGACTTAATTATATTCTTTTTTTTTTTTTTGATTTAAGATTAAAATAAAGCACTTGTCAATTTTGTAAATTAATTTTCTATTTACTAAGATCATAAAAATTTTAAATCATAATTTTTGCTAATGCCTAAACAAACAAACAGTATCATTTTGATTTTAAATTAATTATTCATCATCATTTAAAATATGAGAAGTGTTCTCATTATTCACAATAATTTACTACTTACTAACAATTATAAAGAAGCATTATATCGTATGCTAAATTACTCATTAATTAATTATCTTATAAATTATTATTATATTTTTCATTCTAAAATATTGCTGTTTATACTGTATTATTTAAAGGAAAATCAACATATGAAAAAGAGCAAAGAATCCAAAAAAAAAAAAAGAAAAAATTCAAACCAACTTCTCTTGCTTTCAAATAATTAACATTGTATGATCGATCACGACGAGTATTAAGCAATGCTAAGAGTAATTCTTTGAAATCACCGCTTGTATCACCAACAATATCACTTTCCAATGTTTTCCCAAACTCATCCTTGTATTCATTTTTAATTGCATTTAATTCATCATCATTTCGAGAGCATAGAATATCAATTAATGTTATTTCTGTTGTCCCCAAACCCTAAAAAGATTTAAAATAAAAAAAAATGAAAAATTAATTTGTTTCATAACTTGAAGTAAAAAAAAAATTTTTTAATTTTAAAAATAAATACATTGATTGCATTTCTCATTCTAATTATTCTTACTTGAAAAAAATTTTTTCTTTTTTCTGATATGCAAATTTATATTCATACACATATATATTTATTAAAAGAATTAGTTTGTATTTCAAAGGATAAAATAAAAAAGAAATTAAAAATAAAACTTATCACTAAAATATTTCACATCTTTAATTCGTACAAATAACTTTTATTTCATTAACCTTCATAGCTTTTTGCAGTTGCATAGCATCATATTTAGTTGGTGTTTCCATTAATCCAATGATGACATCTTCAAAATCACCTGATAATTCCTTTTTCAGCTCATCAATCAAATCCTTTCCATATTTATTTCTGTACGGCGTACGAATCTGAGAAATATTTTACAAAAAGTAAACAAAAGCAAAATAAGAAAAAAGAAAATTTTGTTTCAATAAAAAGGAAAAAAACAAGAAAAAAAAACTGAAATTAACGTTGTGAAAATATTATTAATTATTCAATTTATTACAACAAAATTCTATTTTAACACATATTTGTCATTTTTATTTTTGAAAATAATGAATAATTATTTAAAAAAATAATTTTAATGAACAATAAATAGACATGGTTTTTTTTTAAAAAAAAAAGAACTAAATGAGTAAAAGAATATAATAATATAATTAATATAATAAAATTCAATTCAAAAATTAAATCTAAACTTTTTTAAAAAAACATATAAATAAGTAAATAAAATACCATTTGTCGTTGTGCATTGTTACAATGAGCGATGACCTGAATGACACGATATTTGTCACATCCTGAACCTTTCATCGCATCATACAATACATCAGCTGCTGTTTCAGCATTAAAATCCATTTTTGGTTTGATTGTTCCATAAAATTCAGATGACATTTTGAAACGTTTATCAATAAATTGATAAATTTTAGGAAGTTCCGCTAAATATCTGAAAGCTTCATTTTTTCAAAAAAATAAAAATAAAATTTTCTTTTTTGAACAAAAAAAAAGTAAAATGTTTAATGCATGAATAATGATAAAATTATAAAACAAGATTTACTATAAAATTTGTTCCTTTCAAATTTGTCTTTTTTTTATCTTTCTTATCTAAAAAAATGAGTACATTTTGAATATAACAGAAGTCAATTTAATAGCAAATTTAATAAGCACTACTGAATAGAGAGAAATTAAAAAAGCAAAAAATATTTAAATAAGCGGAAATAAGCGGAAGTTAATCCTAGAGGTATAAGTGAAAGTGAAACAAATGAATGAAAAATAAAGATTATAAAGTAAAAAAAAATAAAATATTTAAGGTAAAATTTTAGGAACAAAAAAAAAAAAAAAAAAAAAAGAAATATCGGTGAATGAATTATATAATATCACAAAATCAATTCAACTTCCATGCATCAAAAAAAAACTTTTTATTTTGTTTCCACCAAAAAATTATTTACACTAATTTAATTTACAATTAAAATTATATTTTACAATTTGAAAAACAAAAGATTTTAAATGAATCTTAAATCAAGATAATTCATATCAGTTAACTATCACTGAATAATATAATAGGTTGGAAGATTCAGCGAAAATATGAAATTGATAAGAATGGTGAATATAACCTGAAATAATTTTGATAAACTTATGCTCTAGTATTTCACACTATTTTCTAGGTTTATATTCTGAAGTATAAAAGACTAATATCTTGAAAAGACTTCAAACAATATTTAAATGAAATAAATCATTGACTATTTTTCCAAAAATTTTTTTTTTTGAAAATAATTCAAAATTTACAAGAATGCTTCAAATAGCTATGGCTTGAAATTTTATCATTCCATACTAAACTAAGTCAAAAAAAAAGGAAAAACAGAAAATTACAATTTTGGACATTCAAGTCCACGCCTTTCTGATGTTTTTTTCCTCTTATCTTCCATTTGGATGCATTTGATAAAAATTTTGATGGAAATACTTCTTTTTGATGAATTTGATAAATTAAAAATTACCATCCGATAATTAAAAAATAGGAGGAAGAAGAAAAAAGGAAAATAAGACGGAGCAGCTTGTGTTTATTAAAAAACCTCAGTTCTTAAAAGCATATAGAAAGAACTTTTATTAAAATGCTCAAAAGCATACTGCAAGACATATTCTATATATTCTGAAACATTTGTTTTAATAATATTTATTTAGCGTACATTCTGGAAAGTTTGCCGAAAAAAAAAATATTGCTAAGCCTTTTCCAATATATATTAGAAGGCCTAATAATTCAAAAATACTATTGTCAGTACATATGGAATGAATGCATAGAATGTATGAGCACATAATGTTAGGCCTTTTCCAATACATTCCACAAAGGCCTAAATTTGAAGATATTGCTGCGAAATCATTTGAACATGCATGAAACGTGAAACACGTGTCTTTAGACATTTGTAAACGTATACACGTGTCTATCACTTAAATGCATAACATTAGACATTTGTAAACGTATACACGTGTCTATCACTTAAATGCATAACATTAGACATTTGTAAACGTATACTACAAGGCCTAATTTTAAAGTATTACTAAAACTTTGCTAACACATATGAATTAAAGGATTCATTGTATCATATAGACTCAATGAAAATTTTTTTTCCATTTAACGATTTATAATATAAGGCCTTTTAGTTTGAAATATCTTTTAAGGCCTATCAGAAAGTATTATTGCAACGAGATAAAAGAGAGGGAGAGAGGGAGAGAGAGAGGGAGAGAGAGAGGGAGAGAGAGAGGGAGAGAGAGAGGGAGAGAGGGAGAGAGAGTGAAAAATGCTATAAATGAAAAGGAGAGAGTCCACTGAGTTTATATGAATGATACAATGAATCCTTTAATTGTGCTATCTGTCATATAAAAATGAGTCATCGTTTCGCTTTTTTTCATTTTTTATTTCCTTTTTTTCAGCTTTAGAAGAAAAAAAGGAAAGAAAAGAATAAAATGCACTAATGCATAAAAAAGAGAGAAAAATCAATCGCATCTCATTTCCAATTTTCTCCTTTTTTCCCTTTTACCATTTTTTTTCTGTTTTAGTATATTAAACAGACAATGAAATTTACGAAATTTACGTATACGTGTGTGTATATTTATTAGACGTGAAATTCTGACGTACGTGTGTGTACGTTTACTAGACATGAAACTTTGACGTGAGTAATATTCTTGTATATCTCAAATACTTAATTGTTACAATATTTTTATTTATTAACATTATTGAACTTTAAAATTATATCAAAAAAATAGGTCCGTTCAAGGTTATATATTCGAAAAGAATTTTCAATTTTTTTTTTTTTGTCTGAAAGATATAAATTTGTCCTAAATGTTAGCACTGAAATGATAACAATTATTATGGTAGATAATTAGACTCAATTTTTTTTAAGTCTATTTAAATTTGAAGATCTAACAGATGTGCTAGAATTGCAGGTTATGAATTTACACTAAACTAAATTTACATTTAATTGATTAAAATTTTGTATGAAAATAATCGCAATGCAAGGAATAAAAAGATAAAAGTATAAAATAAAAGAATAAAATGAGAAATTTGAAAATACAATGGAATACGTTCCATTTGTTTATTTCAACAAACTAAAACAAACAACGAAAGCGAAGAGAAAAGTGAAATTTGGCAGACGGTTAAATAAAATGAAAGCTAAAAGCATTCAATTAAATTAGTGTGAGTTAGCATTAGCGTAAATATTGGTTTTTGTTAAAAGTAACCGCTAAATTTATTTATAATCCATATACTAAATGGTAAATTTAATTTATGATAACTGATAAAAAATGCAGAATAAATACGAAATTATTAAAATTTGTTCGTTTTTTTTTTAAATAGCAACGACAGCGATAATGACAACAACTAATAGCACAATAATAATTAGTAATAATAATGATAACCGTAATGATAATAATAATAAAATTAAGCTAAGAAGAAATAACATCAAAATACAAAATTTTTTAATGCATAGAACTAAAAAGTAAATTGTTGTGAATTAAACTAGACCCAAACTAGACTGACCAGGTTTGATTATACTGGACTAGCCTATAGGAGGTATTATTGTTAAAATAAAAAAGATAAGACAAAACAAGCATATCAGATGAATATTAAATGCAAGAGACAAAATTACTATTAGTAATATTTTTGTCAACAAAGTGAGTGAGTGATAAGGGAAATGAAATGATATAAACTGTTCTGATGTTTAATCTATAAAATGAAAAAGAAATGAAATGAAGGTAAAAAGAAAGAATGAAATTGTCGAGCGTTCAACAACGCGAAGTTACATCACTAATGCGAATGTTACGAATCATCGATATAATTGCGCACGGATAGATAGATAGGTAGGTAGGTGCATTTTATGGTGTGAAGAAATTTTAAGGAAGGAAGAAGAAGGGAAAAGACAACAAGAATGAAAAATGCTATTGAATTGTTTGTGTTGAAATACATTTGGCATCTAACAAGATAATGGATGATGTTAATAATAATAGTAGTGATAAGGATGATAACAACGGTGGTACAGTAATAAGGAAGGACGATAATGGTATTAATGATAATGTTATGGTTAATAATGATAGTGATGATTAACAATGCTGTTATGGTTGTTGAAATTCATGTTGTAAAAGGAAGAGAAGCTGAGTAATATGTTTATCGATTGAATTTTTTATTTCTTTTTTTCCTTATTCAATTCTGATAATCGTTTAATTTAAGCACAAAAAAGTTACCTTTGTATACAATACGGAAATTTATTACAAATGCAGTTTATTCGTAGAAATTATAACAAAAAAAAAAAAAAAAGAAAAACTGTTATAACAACGATTCTATTAACAAACATAGCATATTCGTGTTTCATTTATATTTATGCTAGTCATCCTAATATCACTACTGATAGGCGACTCTTTGAGAGTGTAGGAAGAACGATAATGATGATAAAAGTGTTGTTTAACGATAAGAATATTGATAATATTAACAATGAGAATAGCGATAGAATAGCAATATTGATGAGGATGATGATTTTATCGATGGATAAGATGATTTTGCCCGATGATGGTAGTAATAATGATATTTATGATGATATGACAATGACAATAATAGTAATAATAATAATAATAATAATAATAATAATAATAATAATAATAATAATAATAATAACATTGATTTCATTATCGTTAATACCATTGTTTTTTGTCTCGTAAAAAAAGAATCAGTCAATAATGTGAAATTCAAATTCAATTTTCATACATTCGAAATAACATCCGAATAAAGTTTAATTACTCACCCACTTATTGTTTATCATTCTTCGATTAAAAAATATTCTTTTTTTTCTCTTAGATGAAAAAAATCTTTGTTCTCTTTAAATCAGAAAAAAAGGTTTTTTTTTCTTGTTTAAAAATGGTAAACAATAAGTGAATAAGTAAATTACATTCGGACCACAAGCAAACAATTTGTTAGCTTTATTCTTGCAGTCACTAATTCTTCGATATTAAGTTAGGTCTTTCAGTTTCATTTTTACTTCAAATGCTCAATATTTTTGAAAAATAATATTAACATAAATTCGAATATAACTTACTTATTGTTTACCATTTTTATATCAGAAAAAGAGCAGGTAAGTAAATAAATGAATGAATCACTGATTAGACGTAAAAGTAAAAATGAACGAAGCTTTTAATAAGCCGAGCAATAATAGATAGGATATACGAAAAGATGGCAATAAAATTTAATAAAATTGAACGAAACAATTGCAATTCCCGCAAAACAAATTTTCTTTAATAATTGAATTTTGGAAAAAAATTCTACAAAAATGATATATTTGATAATATCGTATTGATACGCTTTGAAATTAATGCTATTTATTGATTAAATTTATGTTTTAATTTAAATTAAGTTCAGATTTTATACTAACTCGAATTCATTTCGAGTACCATGCGATTGAGATGTACTTTCACATTTGATTTTGTTAATTTATGGCGGAAATACGTTTTAATTAAAATGCCGAAACCATAAATCAAAATAAATTGCTTCCCATTTTATGCTTCATTATTTTAACATTTCACTACCGATGGCATTTATCTGTAGCAATTATAAATCACGAAATCATACCCACCCAAATCAATCATTTTTTTCAAAAAAAAAAAAAAAATTGAGCTTTTCAAATGAAAAATAGAAATTGTTATTCAATATTATTTATTCGAAGGTATGTTACAATTCACCGAATATGACTCATATTATTTTTAATTTTTCAATTCATTTGTTTCTTTCCTTTTCTTCGATTCTCTTAGTCAAAAAGTGAAACTTTTTTCAAAGAAAAAAGTTTCATTCTCAAAATTTGAGAAAGAAAGGAAAAAAATACAATAATGAATTAAAATGGATAGATATACTATCCATCCATTCATTCATAATTTCGATTTAATTTCAAAAGTGAAACATACTGGAACTTCTTGAAATAAAATTAAAGCAATAAAATTATTAAAATAGTTTATAATACCATACAATAAACACATTTATGAAATACTTTAATAAAACCAAACATATGAGTGTGGGAAGCAAGTACCAGTATTCTTTGTAGCATAAAACCATTTTTGAAAATAAAAAGTAAAAATAAAAAAGAAAAACTGGAAAAAAAAGTAAAAAAAAAAAGTAATATTTCAAAACATTGCAAAACTAGATAATAGATTAAAGGCGAAATGAAGAAAAACTTTGAATTCTAAATTTTTTTAAATTTCTTTTGCAAAGAAATTTTATTGTATGTAAAGTAAAACTGATTTAATATCATTAACAAAAATGAAACAAATTTCTCCTTCGCATCTCTCTTTTTTACATTTTCCAAAAAAGTTTTTTGTCTGAATTACATATTTCTACTTGTAGCAAAAATAATTATCAAATTTTCGAGCTAAAATTTGCTGCATCTAATACCTAAAATCATTTTTATCGTTTTTCTTACCATAAAAATAATCAAATTTCGAATTTAAAAATTTTTGAAATTAAAAGATTAAAGGCATTCAGCATTAAAAAAATATTCATTTTTTCGTATTCTGTTTTTTTTCCGCCAGAGTAATTTTTCTTTTTTTTTCTTGATATTATACAAATACATATATGAATTTGTCATTTGCATGGGAAAAAGAGAAATATTACAAAAACTGAAATTATTCATCACAAATTTGAAATGAAAAAGAATAATAATAATATCGAAAAAAAAAAAAAATAGGAGGAATAACTGATTATTCCAAAGACAATCAATCATTTTATAATAATAATTCAATCAAATGTATAAACAAAAATAATTTTTGCAATAATACTGTATTATCCTGAAATATCATCCTGAAATGTTAATCCGTTTTTTTTGCGTTTCCATCACTTCCGTTTTCGTATTTATAATCATCCATGGCATCAGTATATTCCACTTATTCCA